CTTAGTAATGTGGCCAATAAGCAAGTAAAAGCCAGCTTTTCTATATTCTCATTGTAAATTCTTTCGTATGTACATACAAAATTATACATTTAATTGTTAGTAACATATAACGGATTTTTATCTACTTTTATTTGCGGTATTCATCAGTGTTTTGTATTGTGGGACCATTTTTGTAGCATGCAATGTGCTTTTTATCACTGCTTTTAGTTTTTGATTAATTTCATTCATGATTGAATTACCTTCAAATGAAAATTGAATCTGAAGTTTGTGCTGATGATGTCGTTCAGAAGAACGATGAAAGCTCCACGACCAAACCATCCAGCTCAGAGAACAAAACTCCATCAAAATTGAATATAAATATGTTTCTTTTCAGTTTTGTACACTTACCTCGGTATTCACGAATATGTTTCTTTATAAAATAATTGAGGGTATTCTCTTTCTTCTCAGACTATTTATTACCGCATACCTCCTGTCGAGCTCATTTAGTGAACATAATTTTCTGGTTTTACGGTGGAGCATCTTCACCAACCCATATTTATATCTTACAGAATCAAACCTATAAAAGTATTGGTCATTTCAGGTTTCTTCACAATGTATATACCTTTGACAAGTTCCATAATTTCTAGAAATACCATAATCGAAGGAATTGAACTCATCCCTTCTTTCGTGTTTCATTGTGGATCTAATAGTTGGATGGACTTTACTGAAAATTTTTCTGCATGCTAGTCGTATTATTTATATCGTTACACAAAAAAAGGTTTAATCAGCGTTCTTCAATTAAAGTTTATTCTTATTGATGACAGATAGTAATTTTGTTCCCTTTAAAGTCCCAACGATCATATCGATAGGGAGTGGTCCTAAAGGAATTCCTATAGACACACTATATGGTTGACAGTTTAGTTTAATGTTAAATCATAATTGGACATTTCAATGAACAATCTTATTAAGTACTTGAACTGTATTGGTGATATGGATATATCTTGTGAGTATTAGCTAATAATGCCAATTGTTTCTTTAAAAGTAGTATTGTTAAAAAATGAAAACGTGTTGTATGAAACCATAAGTGTATTTAGGATATTTGTCTAGTCTATTCGCCCAATTTTTTAATAATTATTTCTAGTTTGCTAGATGAGCATCGAGTTAATTTATGTCACAGAATATCAACCATAAGAACAATAATTCTGACTGATATATTAGATTTATGTAATCTAACTTAACCGAACACGTTACATGTAGTATTATTAATCATCCTGATTTTCAGTTCTATAAGTTGTTTGGATACATGATTTTCTAATACTTTCGTTTTCACCTCATCTGAATTTCCTGCTATGAGTTTGTTCAGATCTATAATCCTCACAGTTTTTCACAGATGTTCAGATCTGTTCGTCGGCAAAACCCCGAGGCTTTATCTAGTTTAATTGGTGTTTTATTATACTTTTTTTCTCAGATTTTAAGATATTGTAATAGACTTCCGTCACAAATTTACATAGAAGCGATGATGCAGTGTAGACTTAATTAGTTGTAATCACAGTGAAGTGAATTGAAATCATATTCCTCTTCTCTGGCAAAAAGTTTTAACATTGTCATCATGTCACTTGATAAAATGATCTTAAGTATTTTAGAATAGCCACCCTAAGCAACAATAAAAACATTGTAGAAGCCTAAATCCTTAACTCCTTTCACATTCCAAACTACTTGTTCGTTATTAATTGATAATTCATTTTTCTATATTACGCTAATAATGTGAATATTTAAAGTTGTGGGCTGCTGTTTAGTCTGAGTGAAGAGAACGAACTACAGCAAAATTCAATATTGATTTCATAAATGCTGTCCGTTTGCTTAATAATTTTATCAATTAATTTAAACTACTTTATAATTTGTGAGTAATACATTTATTTTAATTGTAATCTTCAGGACTACACATACAAAATTATTTGTGGTCGATGAATTAATAAATTATCATGATAATCATTTACAATTATTTGGATGAAAGGTAAAATAAAACATGATCAGAATATTTGTGATGAATTCCTAAAGTAAAAGACTTTGTTACAACTTCAAACTGGTATGGTGCAATTAGATTATATGAATCTTACCATGGTTTATTTCTGCTATACGATCACATTACTTTGAGACATGAATTAGATGACTAGTGCATTACTAAATAGTCATTTGATAGCATGGTTAAATTATCCGAAATTTTTTATCGTCATTAGTATTGGATAATCTAGGGACTATCATCGTGACCCTCTAGTCGTTGTTAAAAAGCCTGTTTTACTTAGATTATTAGTTAGACATCAGTATATGAGTCAAGTTACTCTCTCAACAGTCAAAAAGGTTTTATATTTAAAACTAAACACCTACCTAAAAACATTATCCAGTTTTTATTTAAACTAATTCAAGAATTGAAGATATTGTTAAACTGACTAAATTAAAACAGGGTTCCAATTTAGTCAAATTAAAATTATGAATACAAGTTTTTATTGGATCTTGAGATTTGTTAGGTATGGTTCACGGTGACTGTTAACTATGGACGCTCGAGATCATTCTTACATGAACGGAATCTAATGTGAACTTGCTTAGTCGACAAATGACCCGCACAACTCTCCAAAAACAATGCCGGAAGATGGAACTCAACAAGAAGGTAGCATTGCAGAAGGAGAATCAATATCTGACAAATAAAAATCGAAATAGGACAACTCTATTTATATATTAAGTAGATGTGACCTTGGGACGCATGGAAAAATTAACGAAACTAAAAGTGATAACAGCCAGTCAGAAATACGAAACATAAAAATTGTACTCGGGGTTATCACTACAAGAAAGAGCTAACATTTACAAAAAACGAGATAACTTGGAATCTTCTCAGTAGTCATAACAGGGGAATTTCGTTTCTAGTAATAAATTAATCAATGGCTGAAAGATATTCGATCAAACAAGTTTTGGAAACCCGATCGCAATAATATAGATCGGAATTTTAGTCTCTTTTAAGCTTTTCGTGCATTACTTAAACTGTCATACTTCCCAACTATTTATTAAGATCTAGGTCATAAGCTACAAGTGATTTTTAAACCAGAATATAAGGTTAATGAGTTTTACTTTTTTCTAATTTAAGAGTTATCGTTCTATCTCCTATAGCAATTTGAGTGAACGATTCGGGATTAAATATGCTTGTTAATAAGAGTTCGGCTTATCTGGAGTGAGTTTTAATCAGTTCTCGTTGTTATATGTGTATCAGAGACTGACGCCTTAATATGACCATTTTAACAGGCGTGTCTAGCAGTGAAAACCAAAAGGCAGGTATATTCAAAAGATGAGTCCAGGATGGGACGAAACGCCAGCACTGTATTTCACTGAGAGTAACAATCCATTTATTCTAAGAATTTATGAATTCCGTTCAAAAATGTTTGTAACAGATAGGAAGCCATAAGAAGTCAATAAATCTATTTTGTTTTGTAGAAAGTTTTATATTCACAATTTTTTCAAAAATGATTGTTTGACCTTAAAATAAATCCCTTTGAAAATTAATCGGGAATGATCATTCGCGATTCATTTACATGCTGAGAAAAGATAATTTGATAAGGATTGCAAATATCCTTATATACTGACAAAGTGAATAAATTATACATTATATCACACTGCTATGTACTCTGGTTTTATTGAAATACATCCTTTCTCTGCTGGTAGATACTGAGAACAGATTAAGTTAAGGAAAGTCTGTCCGATAATATACCAATATCTGAATGATTCACAATATAGCACAAGAATACACCACCTTTATAAGATGGAAGTCACCTGGATAACATAAGAGAAAGTAGAGTTGTATTCAGAAGAAATACACTTAGCCTTATTGTTTACCCTAGGCAGCTACAGAATCATCTCACTTCTGGTCTAACTGTCAGTCTAATTGTTAGTTATACATTATAAAATATTATTTCCAACCTCTTTGTATGCACACATTTATTCTGATATATTCTACGAAACATTTCTAATAAAGCAATCATCTTTCTTAATCTACAGTTATTATTATTATTATTATTACTTATAAAATTTACACTTCATGAATCCCACTAACATGGCTTTTCTCTTTTGGTGATAATTCACAATTTTACCCACTTATAAAACATGTTAAAGTTATCAATGTTGCATTTTTTAGGCATTTAAGATGTGACCAACGTAAAGTCCACCATTCTCAGTGTATATAACTATTTGAATCATTTTTTATATTTATGCCCCGATATTACGAGACCTCATTTATGGATTTCATTTGGCAACAGCTCAAAAGGATATCCAAGGACAGAGTAGGTTGAAGAATCCTGGTCGGCGGTCCATGCTTCACGAAGGGTAACAGGCATAAATAAATAAATAAGTAAATAACATTTATGAAATAATACTACAACCTGAAGATAAAGTTATTAATTGGGAATGAAACTGAGCAGTTACAATATGATTACACTATGGACACTGATAACTGACAAATAATAAGGCATAGATCATACAATTACTATTCTATCACAAATTTTGTTTCATCTAAATTGACATATATAAACAACGGAATAGTTTTCAAATAAGGACAATTTAAGCAACCCTATAATTAACTTGATGTTCATGAAAATCTCACACGTTCACATTTTATAAGAAAAAAGAATAACAAGTGCAACCAATTTTAATTATATTTTATGACAAATTGTACACAAGATTACACTGTTATAATTAGTTTTCATGCATAGCCTCATTGACTATAATAAACAATAGAATAAAAAGGACAGTAAGCCTTACAAAGCGGTAAATTACAAATATGTAATATTCTAATGATTATTATTTATAGTTTCTTTTCATTGTAACAAAATATATTGAAAAATGAACTAGATAATAATGGTGATAGTGTGTTACTATAATAATAATAACACTAGTAATTATTAAGAAAAAAGAAGACTGAAAAGGTAAGAATATTGCATAAGAAAATCTTCACCAAAAGTTTCAGTATTTCTATGAAAATGCAACCATTAAAACATCAGGCGCATATTATGAGAACACAGACTTAATGAAATCATATCCATGAAAGTATTTAGTTCTGATACACAAACAATGTGAATACCACTAATTTTTATTCATATTGGAAATTGATCAAAATTTTCTGGAATTGATGAAGGAATGGAAGCACTGAATTCTTGCCTTCAAGTATGAAGATTGGTCAGTTTAAGCTTGATCGTAATTGTATTGTTGCTTCAATCCAAATATTTGGTCTTTCGCACATAGCCAACCAGGCTGATTTTTCAGCATTCATTGCATCCAACCATGGTTGATTATCTGAATATGACGGACAACGAAAAAAGCGTTATTATGAATGGCAACAGTACGAATGGTACATCACAGTTATTTATACAAAAAATACTAAAGATTTTAAATTCTGAGATCTACGTAATGACTCGGTAGTTATAATCAACTCGTGACGTGGACCATATTACAAAATTGTGCTTATCTTCTTAATCAAACAATAAAATAATTAATCATTTGACCAGTATTTTCATTGATGACACTTTGACTTGTCATATTACTCAAAATATTTATCATTTTCGTACCAATTTAATTGTTAATCTATGAATTCATTCATTATTTAGCTTGCCATCAAAATATGGTGCTGACTGGTATTTAACTCAAGAGCAAGTTGTGTTCACTGAGTCTCTGAAAAATTTCGACAAATTAGAATCTTGTCGTTATGTGGCTGGATGATCACCACTCTTCATAAACGAACACTTGAAATTATTTTATTTCGTGATGTGTATACACACAAACTACTTACAAGTAGTTGAATGACGAACTAAAGTTTTAAGGTGTTTTTTGAAATTGGTTGTGAAAGGACCACAAAACATGTTTTTTTTTTATTAGCAGAAATTATTTATGGACTTTTAATGAGGTTAGTAAATACATGATAGTCAAAAAACATACGTGATCCACAGTTGATTCTACATCCTCCAAGAAAATCATTTGATGAGAACCGATCGTAATCCCAAACAGAAATTTCTATTCCAATTTCATTTAAAGAGTTAAGGATAATGTCTCTGTATATAATAGCTTGGTTCCATTCTGGATTATTATTCTTTCTGACAACCTTTGTCTTCTGTTTCGAATGCTTTTCTTTACCGGGCAACATATATCTGGAAATCCGATATGACACGATCGTGTGTTAGAAGCAAAATTTCATAAGAAGTGTATTGTCGATTGGGCACATAAAACCAAAAGTTTTTATTATGTATGAACTGAATGAACCAATTTAACATGAAATACGTAATTTAGTCGGTTATTCAATCGTCATAAAACTTAAAAAGAGAGTGTATTACTAACAGGAACCAACTTGTTTGAATGTCAACATTCTAAAATAATGGTTGACTTTGTAATTCAGATTTTAATTTATCCTCTTACAAGGTCTAAATAATTCCTTTGTTGAGCTAGTTAGCTTAAACCACTAAGTAATTTTTCCATTATAATTGCAGATGCTGTTAACTAATATACTTGTTAGTAGATAATACTAGAATACTGGAAGGAGGCAAGTCTGTTTTAAATTCGTGCGTTTCTGTTAAGTACTGCTGTTTTCATCACATCACTCTGTTCAAACATATTATATGTCCGAATCGAAAATACTAATAAACACAGAATTATTAATGGTCGAACAGATAACACAAATCTCTACAAATTGAATTCATATTCTGTCACTACTAAATATCAACCGAAAATATAAAAAAAACTTATTTTCCTTTATTTTAAGTCACCTTGAGTAGTGGATAAGGTGAAGCTTGATAAATGAAGTTCGATCCACTTTGAGGACTTGACGAAAATGGTATTGGTTACTATTCAGTGATGAATCACCTTACGATCATGAGGTACAAGTTAGAGCTTGAGAAACACAGTAGTAGCATCATTGATATTAATACCGAGTGGGACAGGTTAGGATCCCATGAAGAGTACAGGCTACATTGATAATCGAGACACATCTTACTTTGTGATGCCAAATAACACAAAGCTTAGACTTAAGGCTTTCTGGCGATTCGCTCCAAACAACCAGCACCCATACCTCTACAGTACATAATACAAGATTGAACTGTAACTTGGAACCACTAACAACAGGCTCTAAGATGTGCACACAAAATCCAGAAGTCAGAAGTAGAAGATGGAATGGCTTAGATCAGCTAGAATTAACTTGAATGTAATCAGGGGTGATATCGATAAAAAATGTGTATACCCAATCATTTGGGAATGTTTATTTACCATCTTTTTTATTTATAATAATGTTACTATATTCCCTTTGTTTTCTCTATCACCATGTCGTTTGAGAGCATGCCAATGTGTTCAGATGTACTATGCAATCCCGAACATTGATCTTTTCTATGTGTATATCGCTATATTTGTTTGTACACTAGAAATAAGTTAGCTTTAGAAAAGTGAATATTATTAGGTCAGTAAATTGTATTATTCTTGTTAGTTCTCTGAATGACAAAACACTAAATATAAAAAAACTACTCCAGAAAATTTCTTACGTGAACATACATTTTTACATAGGGATCAACATTATCCTTCTTTACAGCCATCCCGTCAGTAGACGCACTGAGACCTCTGGCAGATTTGATCCATACATGAATTTCACCCCGATTACTACCTGTTTCACCTGGTACGAGTTTTATGGCTAAAACTATTTCACCTCGACTGACTTGTAAGTGTGATACTGTTGGAAGGAAGCGCTATAGGGTTAAATTTTTTTTAGAAATAGTTGTATTAAACTGTCCGTAGGCAAAATTCTAAAAAAAAATACTAAGTTGAAATCAAATTGCAATGGACAAATGCCTCTAACGTAAAATTTTCAAGTTGTTACTTTCATGACGGATTTTACAAAAAGAAGTTTATAACGGGGCTTTAAACATTTTTATTAATAACAATAATCGTAATTAAATTTCCATCATATTTGCTTAAGTTTATATAATCTAATTTCGTCTGTTAATAAATAATGCCAACAATTCAGAATGTTATCATGAAATTTTCTTCATCACTTAAAAGATAATCCATGTGTTTTTTGTCTTAACTATGGTCGAAAACTTAATAATACCGTATAGAGATTATCGATTAGGACATTTTGTTGGTTGGTTATCGAACTGGAAGTCAATATCTGCTATTCTTTTAATAAAAATATTCAATACTATTAGGTAGAGTATATTTCAAAAACCAATTTGAATAATGTTCGTTATAAAGTAAATATACCCAGAATGATGATGGTGATTGGATTTTACTGAGACTAGCCATTTTCATGATATACTTTGTTTTAAATAGTTTTTCCGCAGAGTATCATCGCTTTGCTTCACTTCACTTATATGACAGTTGTGACGAATTACAATCACTTAAGGAAAAATAACTATCTAAATTTTTTCTAAACTTTGAACGTATAAAGTAATTGTGGTATGACCGAAATTCAAAAGTCCTAGTTAAATTATCTTCATGATAACAATTTGGTAACACTATATGGTTTCAAGACATCATCAATATTGTTTCAGTAACAGGGATAAATGTGGTGGTGTAGTTATGTTGATTAAAATGAGCTGGTGTCAATCTAACCATTTTTATTTTAGGTTTTTAAACGACTTTATCGACTGTTTAATATCAGAATGCCATCTAAAACACTTGAAAAACCATAGTAATATTTATTCTGCTAATATTTATATGACCCCAGACTATACTTCATCTTCCCTATTACTTTTTACTGATTCACAAGAAAACATCTCCGAACTGAAAAAGATATTTTAAATAGGAAGGGATTTGTAAATCGACATAGTTCATAGTATCACTACCTTAATTTTGCATTGAGGTTTTTTGTCCCAACGAAATAATTTTTCTAAGATTCATTTAGCATACCTGCCAACAGCTGAAGAGATAGAAGACTATGCAAGGAAAAGGATTATATTAGCGTTTAAAGGCTTGATTGTCTAGTAAGTCGAAAGATCAAACTCCTAAATATATTGTATACTCAAAAGCTCTTATCTTTTAAAAAAATCTTTAAATATGTGAAGACCATTTAACGTTCTTATGGTTGTGGAATGGATTAATGGCGATACCCACCTCAATGTTTGTAGCTTAAATAAGTCTTCCATATGCTAAGGACCTGATGTTATATTTCTCATTTCTTCAAGTTTGATAGAGGGCTGTGTTTTAATATTTAATGATACTAAGGTTTCAACATGTCTGAATTCGCTTGATTCATTAAAATGTTTACGGATTGACAACATTTTGAACCTGCTTCTTAAGAAATGCCCTGATCTTATGTGTCATCCATTAGTGAGCATCGTGACCAAATAGTGACCAATGAACTTTATTTTGAAGATTTGGAAGGAAACGAAGGTAATGCCAATACGGATGAATGTGTCTGGTGATAAGAATGTCAAGTTTTGGACTACTGCAATGACTTCTTTTGTCAAAACGATAAGGAAAAGTTGAGACATACACTGCAGCTTATATTAAAGGAGTGTATTGATCTATACAAGGTTTCTTTCAAATCTAAAAGAAGCAACTGTAGTTGCCCAGTATCATAATATAATTTTCAGTTTGGAGAACAGTTATAAGACTGGAATTCTTCCTTTGGTTCTGTTCTAAAAGTACTACCACTAACTTCAAATGCATAGGTAATAAATAAACATTTTCAGTGAAAAGACTTCGTTATCAATCGTCTTAGGAGGGACTCCTTAGTAATATGAAGCTTTTAGTACTTTTTAAGTGCATCACAAGACAGATTTTTTTAAAGGTTATCGGAAAAGGATTTAAGACTGGGGAATTTCTTATAGTTTATGTCCCAAAGAATCATCATAATTAATCCATATCTTGTTGATGAATCGATCAATGAAACCTAAAATAAAATGAACTAAATAACTTACGTGTTCACCAAGTGTATACCAATGGGAGGCTTGGTCAAACTGATGGAAAGTCAGCGGTAAAAAAATCTCACCCAGAAATAAATTCAAACCCAATGCATTATGATGCCAAACAGATACTTGGAGTGTACGCAATGTTAGGTCCTGTTTTAGTATATGATATTTAAATTCTTCATCATAAACTGGATTACATGTTGCTTTTTTGTACGATGTTTTTCGCTTGCTACCCTTAGTTCGATCTGGTAATAAATAGCATTTCACATAGCTATTGTTTTGCATAATAATAAGAAGGAAGGAAGAGAGCAAATATGTAACAATAAAATTGAGTGCATATACTCCAGAAGATGATGCAAAATTTATTAAAAGAACTTTCTCGATTTCCACGACATGATATTATAAAGAAAAGTATATGAACTATTCAAACAGAGTAATTTCGCCAAATCCATACTATTCGAACCAATTGTGCAATTCATAATTCCATGGATCTTGGGATAGATGACTTTAAGCAGATCTGAGAGGTTGACTTATCTTTATTCGTACAAAGGTGAAGGACACCGTGACGCATTATGCATTCGATAAACCTGCATGCTCAATATTGCTAATTAGAATAAGTGTACATACAGTTCTAGATCTAGGTTTCATGCTGTTTAGTACCTGTCACGAAGGCTAATCTACGATCTTGATAAAACTCAAGATCCCAGTGTGTTTCCTAACCGCGTCAGCCAGAGTTAGGTACTGACTTTACTACTGAGCTATTTCAGTCATCGATACACAGTGCATGTAATGGTAAGTCATGTGGACTAGTGATCAAAGTGCAACTTGGTTGATAGAATTCGACTTGCACTACAAATTGGACACACAGAACAAAAGTCTCTACTTAGTGATCAATCGGTTTCAAATTAATATGCTGAATAAACACAAATATTAGGGAAATATAGCATGAAAAATTCCCGGTCATCAATTACTGTGAGAAAATTTAAACTTACGGATTGGTTATGTTGCGTTTTCTATCTGCTATCGCTAGGTTACGTGCTTGCTTGATACTGATTCTTAGTGTATTATATGCATCATCGTAAATCACAGCCATAAGCATTTCTCCAGATATCTGAATGCCATGCGCGTAACTTGATTCGCGTTCGCTGTATATACTTAGGGTGGATGCATGGCTGGCCTTATTTTAAGAAACAATATATTAAATTCTTAGCAACATAGAAAATAAATATTATGAAATCTTTGAATAATAGCTGATCCATTTTCTCATTATTGGGATGAATGAGAATTAATTGGTTAAAGCCATATAATAAAAAATATCACCAAATAGTACAATGTAGAAATGTAAATTAATTCCAGAAGTCTGATGAGAGTAGTTTTTATGCTGAATATTAAAGGAATTTCAAGTTTTCTCTTTACAATAACTAATAACTTGAAGGATCACATCACGTGCTCGAATTGAACATGAAATATCATGAGATGGTTTTCGGTGATAAAGTCTAAAGATAGAGTAATTTAACCTTGTCAGGCAATTAAATGAAACAAGGCTGGAGATTTGTTCACTCACTTTTAAATGTTTAGTTAAATGAATTAAGTTGTTATACCAGTTGGATCAGAGTTAACATTACATCTACTTATTGGTTAGTAGTAAAAACCAAACCACTAAACTCTTATCACCCAGTTAACAATAAGAAATTCACTTTACTAAAAAATGTACTTACTAACCACTTAATAATTTGAATGGAGTATGTGAAAACTGTACATTTATCTACATACAGAGAATAAATGCTATCTACTGATTTTCGTGCAACTAGATAAATCTATTTTATTCATGCTTAATTCAAAATGTTTATTTTCCTTTCTGTCGTTTTTTTAAGAATTGATTTACATTGTTTCTTTCACAATAAGATATTATAGAAATATGAAATATATTTCAGAGTTAACGTCTAGATCTAACGATTTTGATATGTTCTTATCTGCAGAATAACAATATCTAAAACCAAATTCAACTACCGACTTAGTTGCATTTATCTTGTTAATGCTGAAGGCAGGAAGTGGAAAACCACAGTCGCTTTATTATAACTTTTCATTAAAAAAATATTGTTTATACTTTACGGAAGATGTTGAATATTCAATATTTATCCGCCTCGTTTAGACATGAATAGCAGTGATCTACTAGAGTCTTTCCAACTTAAAAGTATCCAAGGGTAAAACTTGTGATAGAATACGTGTCCGTGAATCTGTAGTGCATCAGTTCTTCAATATCGATATATGTGGGATATCAAGCATGATCAGGCATTTTTCCGTTCAGTTAGTAGTTGAGTGCTGCATATAACATCATAATTTTCTCAAAGAATTCTATTTTAAGGTCTAAATCCCAAGTTATTTGCTTTTTAATCTAGCAAGTTGAGATATGCTACAGTGACGTGTTCATAGAAGACATACAGATAACTTTAGATGGTTGAAATGAAATCCCCAGCGAACATCATGCTCTTATGTGTTTCACTCAACCACTAAATGAACGAAAAAAATGCTTGAAAATGGTGGATATTGCACTCTTATTGAATGTTGAAAACAGTATGAATAATCACACACTCGAAAATTTAGCGTAACAATAGAGAACACTTAACCGATTTAAACTGTAATTAGTCTACAAGTACTGGTCTCTTAGACATACATATTTAAAAAATCATTTTATTCAAATAAATAATAATATTGCTTCAGAGTTTAAGAAATAATTCAACTATAATAAAAACTAGATAATACACACAAATTAAGTACCATCATAAGAGTAAAGTAAACTTCCTTGAAAATTTTTTTTACAGTACAACATATAAAAGCTACAGACTATCTATCACACAGCAATGATACATATTACAGTTACACACACACACATCAAAACCAGTAGCTCATTATCACTAATGCTGAATCGCATCACACAATACTTATGGTCCGAGGGGCTTATTTTCATTAAATTTTAAATTCCATTTGTAAAACTGAAATACATCTATAAAACAAAGAAAAGTGTTCATAACAACGGAAAAAAAATTAACATACAGTTTTATGAACAAACTAACGTCAAACACAGAAACATTTCAGACATATTGCAAAATAACTAATACAAACTACCGGTGAAAATATCTACCAAAAAAAATCAGAACGAATAAAACCCTAGCAATTTGATTAGTTTTTATAATATAAAATGTGTTTATCATGTGCTCTTATAAAATTATAATTATCAATGCACAGCAATTTTCCCCAGGCATCACATCACGGAGCATGGTAATTAAAAATAAATTTTCCATAGAACCATGAATAATCAATTTGTACTAAGGTTTTTCCAGCATTAAATTAATGAAAAAAATATCTATGAGTGCTTTCTACACGCTTAGTGAATGACTATGATTAGCTATGCACCGTGGATACATTGAACATGAAAATAGTTTATCCAGTCTACACGCAAAACTTATAAGGTCTACTTTCGAAATTTTCGTAAAATTTAGTAGTGAGATCAATAAATATGATTGATCAGTCTTAATTTTTTTGAGCGTTCTCTAGAGAGGTCAGTCAGAAAGAGAAAACTATAGGTAAAAGAAATTCCAGAGATGACTTGTCAAGACAACGTACATATCAAATCTCGTTCTATTAAAGAAAAGCTATGACTTCAACAAACAACAGTAATTTTTAAAGCATAAGCAACCGTGCAACAAACAACAAGCAAGAATCGAACAAATCTCCACTGAAAAAAATTGCAAAGACAAACTGTTTGAAAATCCACCAAGTTTAAAAGTCGTACCGAAAAAAGCACACATGAATACAACGAAAACGTATTACACACACGGTATACAGTACAGGCGTATATATATATATATATATATATATATATATATATATATATATATATATATATATATACCAATTTAGTTTACACAAACCACTTGTGTGACAAGGCAGACATGAAAATGGGTCATAAAATAATATTCTTGTTTACATGATTTTTATCTAGCCCGATGTGAAACAGCGACCTAAAACTCTGTGCTGGATTAAGACCCTTTTCACGAGCCTTATTGGCATCGGTTTCGTTTATCTTTGATAAAGGTGTAGCTTCATAATCATACATACGAATAATATCGAATTCATTCAGAGAACTGCTTTTTCGTCGGTCTTGAACATTTAAAACTTTAACTGAGTTAAATTTTGTGGGATTTTGTATGCTATCAGGATATACCTAAAACATACAGATTAAAGAAAGTCATAAAATAAAGGTTAGAATACGATCTTAACACATTGAAAATGAAAATAGATTAAAAGACATGAGGTTCAAGTGCATCATTTTGTGAAAAGATGAATCTTATGTCTTTGTAAACTTAGGTAGAGGGATAATTTCAATTTATTGGCCTGAATTCATTGAAATAAATTCACTAATTAGATAGAAAATTTAGGCATAAAAGAAGCGCATGACAAGGTGAGTTAAACAAATAAAAGGTCGATAAAATGCTCAAAATAATAAACCAGAAGTTATGTCAACAAGATGCAAACAATCTTTGCACTTTACTGATACAACGGAAAATAAAAACCTTTTTTAGATGAAGTTCTTCTAATTATCTATATTATTGTATCCTTTGAGAGAGTTTGGAAGCAGTACAACTTAAATTGGATCTAGACCGTGAAACCTATCTAAACTTATGAAATATAAGCATTTTTTTATTTGTTCATTTAATTTAAATTAAATACAGATCAACCAAGAAAATTATGGGACATATATGATAAGATTTCAAAATTACCTATTTAGGAAAATTACTAAGTACTGACAATTACACTAACATTCACATTTATATTAATCACTTTCTACGCCATTTATAAGTTTAAAAACTCCCAAAACTCATGTTATAAATATGAGCAACTCATCATGAAACTATTAAAGATTTTACCAAAAATATAACTGGTAAATATTTGTTTAGCTAGATGATTGTATATGAAAACTAATTGTACTTCGTATAATTTTATTTCCAAATTATTTTAAAGACCCATCACTCAGCCATTTGATAACCGAATGAAACAGTAAAACATCCTACCAATTAGCTCAGTCATTCTGCAATTTTGTGTTTTAAATAGTGATGCTTAGTTTAAATTTTTACGGCCTTAGTCTTTACCTGATATCTTTACAGAGACTTTTAATAGCCTGAGACCTCCTCTTTAGACCATAAATTACTAAGTTTTTTGAGCTTTCTAACTTTTGAGAAAAATTCTTCATCCCATTAAATCTTTCTAGTTCATTGTGATGTTCCATTTCAGAAAGGACTTTTATTAAGGCTGAGATACAAAGGGCACAGATAATGAATAAAAACAATTGGTACTATTGTGGTGTGTGCTACTTATGTCGACATAAGTAGTATATAACGCTAATCAGAAATTGAATGTCTAGCAGCAGAAGGTTGAGAAGATCGAGGAGGAAAGGACGGAGACAGAAAGCATTTGGTATGGAAATGCAGGGACAATGAAATCTGAGACAATCAATTAGCATTTTGAAAATGAAGTACTGGAGTATAGTTTTTCTATTTTATCAAGTAACTCTGGTAGTAACGGTTTCAGTAATGGTTATTGTTGTGATAGAAAGGATTAGGGATAGAAGAAAGAAGGAAAGTAAGATTTTGGGATTTGGGGTCTAAGGAAGGACAAAGAATGAATGGATCTGCGTTATTCCGGAAGATTTTTAGTCATGTCACTCAGTCTTCAACTACTGGTTACGACAATAGCACAGACCCAAACAAGATAGTCTGTATCTACCTATACTCCTAGCCTTACAATCAGTGGTTTCATGGACAGATGCCACATCTTGGTTAATCTTCCTGTCATATCCATCTAGGGTTCGACCGTCATTAGTTCTGGTTAAGGGTCGAATAGTTATCGAAGCTAATGTTTTAAACTCTATAACAGTCAGTGAATTCTTCTGTGGTAGTCACAAGAGAACTTTTCTTCTTTTTTATAAACTGGGAAGATCAATGATCAAGATCAATGAAATAGAATTATGTTTAGTTCCCAAAGTTTAACTAAGATCTTGGTCAATCCAGCTGCTAAAATTGGACTATCATACTTAAAGATCTATGGATTTGTCCGGCTGGCCGCACACAGTCTTCTCAGAATGGTTTCGAATGGCATAACTCCGTACTTTTAAGACCTTAGAGATGGAGATGATAACCTGTTTAGCAAGGGAAAGTGTGACACATTTAGATTCAACCTTTCCTTATCTCCTTCTTTGGTTGTGTGATTACAGTATCCCTGCAGATGATGGTTGTTTGAAGGAGACACCTTCTTGCCATCATAATTCAGCAGTACGATTCGTCATTAAACCATTAAAAGACTTTATTCATGCGGCTGGTTTATTTTAATAAACGAACATCATATCGATTCAACTACTGTTTTATACTTGATAGACATGTAAAACCAGTAATTTTTTAAGCAAAACTTTGTATATGTAGGTGAGTTTCCAACATGAGTATAGTTCAATGGTTGATTGGTCCTTTCCCCTCGCCTTTATATATTGGTATGTAGTCTACTAATTTAAGTGGCCTGATTTTAAGTGGTATTTCTTAGCTGTATGAGTAGTAAGTCTAAAAGGGTTAGAAGAATTCAACAATTTCCACCTGTCAGCTATACGCATTTGAGTTTTCTAATTCCGAGAAATCCCTGGTGTAGACTATCTAGTTGGGATACGTGTGATTATAGCAACCAATGGTTAGAGATTTTGAATGACACAGAGTAAGTGCTTCGACTCTTTGTCTTCTAAGTTCTTTAATCCTTTTTAGTTCCTCGATTTATATCTCCTTTCGTTATATCTTCAGTGCTTGGTCCTTTTTATTACACTTAATACTGTTACTATCACTACTTCTCTGGGATTTGGCTTAACAATTTCATCTCCATGTATTAATGGGCTATGGAAACTTGAAGAGATGTACTCAAGTATCAGATTCTATGTTGCGTTCGACTGACTGACTGACTGATGGTTCCTCAAACATATTCTCAATTTCAGGGAATTCACAGGAATATTCGGTCAAATCTCCAAGTCTCTCTTGACATAAACAAGAGGACATATTTATTTTTGGGAGCATCGGGAAACATTTCGGAAGAAGTGAATTCGTTCTTCGAAGGTAACAGAATAGAAACGAGACAACTGTAAATAGGGATAAACTTTTTAAGAACAACTTGAGTCGAGTTTTTAGCGAGAAACCTAAGCGAAATCAACATTTTTGTGGGATTAAACTATACGTGAAAGATAGAGTTAATGTATATGCTATCATGGTAAGAAGAATAAAATGGGATTATGATGATTTGTTTGTACGTTTTATATATACGGACATACGGATTTCCCATTTAACTGTATTTTTCCATGCTTTTCTCTTTATTTATTACTCGTTAAATTAGATTCTTAACCTATAAAATTGTCGAAAAACTCAAAAGCTTTTTCAAAACTTTTCTAGATCACTAAGTTGAATAAACAAATAGATTTACCAAATTACAAAGATAAAAAAGAAACATATTGGATGAGAAAAAAAGCAAATATTAGAAGATTCTGTCATAGAAAACATGCTTACTCATTGTATCAAGTCAAAACAAGTTTTAAGAATAAAGAAGTATATATTTTCTATATCAGATTGTGTTCAAATGAAAATACAAGTTGGAGAGACAAATATTTATATGCATATGAGTATAGCAGTTTACAATATTAAATAACATGTATCATGAATTTGACAAAAAGGTTCGTGATTTACACAAAGTTTACATGAAATTATGAGAAACGTTCAAACACAAGACTCATATTTATTCAGTATTTCATATTTCTCTGGGACTTTTGATGATTTAACTTCAACGATCAAACAACTATTTTGCATAGTGAAGTGTTTTGAAGTGAACTTATCAAATCGAATTCCACAAAGTGGAGAGGTGTGAGAATATACTAGCTTTTTGTGATACGTTAAATATTTTTAGTTCAAGGTGTGAATAGTCTTGTAGTTATATTGCTCTTTGATTTTAGACTTTTTAAGAGGAGAGATTTGAATAGATTCTCTTATGGATCAAAAACATAACGTGATGAATGAGATAGATATATTCAAGCATTCCTATTTAAGTTTGAATAGGTAGGTTGATTAAAAAGCGAAAATGACTAACTACTTAAATGAATGAATCACTTAAAAAGCGAAAACGTACATACTATAGTGCAGTCTACCTGTTATAACTTTAAAGTTTAAAAAGCGATATACATCTAACTAAAATCTATATGGATATAGCAGTCAAAACTGTCTACTAATAAAGCCCTGTTCCAAATACCTTGATTACAGACAAAAAACCGGTAGCATTCAGTAATATGGCTCTAACTGAAAATCAATGATGATAAAGTGAAGACATGTAGAACAAAAGAGGAAATGAATACTATGTTCAAAATATGGGAATTACGGAGTGTTCAATGTAAACTACTTAGTTTTGTACATATCATTTTACATTTTCGTTTACCTAGTAAGTGAGAGTAGAATGAAGGCTTAAGATGAATCCGGATATGATTATACCAGCTATCCAACTTAATTGTTTCCAAATTAAGTAACAAAAGACTAGAAAACCATAACTTTGAATATTGATGATAATAATAATAGCCGTAATAATGTCACATCATCCTAGAATAGATGAATACATAAAACACAAACCAAATGATGATGGTAACTCAAACAAACCGTTTAGACCGTTTTTAAATTAGATTTAAATAATTAAACGCCTATGAGCTTGAAAAAGATCATAATTAAAGGAATGGAATATTTTATGCTCATCAATATTTTGGATGAAATGAAATAAATTGATAAATGTCAAGTGAAAAAGAACTCATTTCAGTCCTTGATGAAAATTATTTTCATATCTAATAAAATCTTTATAAACTGTCTAAAGAAACATGTACGTTTATTCTGATTGAATTTTATTGTATAAACATTCTTTATTATTGTGAAAAAATAAACTCAAAATACTAAACTGTCATATATATAAAGTGTGTTTATTTTGACATTATGCGTAATACCTCCTTTATTGAGGTAGGATACAGCTGATGGGAAAGTGGTGGAATGAAATTATTTTATTTAATTCCATAGACCCTGTTCTAATTGGGTTGTTTGAGTTGATTAACGAAACAAAGCGTATCCTACATAATTGTTGGATTTGATCTAAACTTATCTAACGTTTAACTTTGTATATATTAAGATACTAATATTATAATTTATAAGCGTGTATTTTATAACGATAGTAAAAAATTCATCTTGCAAAGTCCAAACTACTTTGTCCCTTGATCTCGGTGTTTTACAATCAGGCGTTTTTTACGATAATTATCTGTTTCTAAACGTTCAGCAAGCATAATAAGCTTAAATCTAAAGCCTATGTAGTACATTTTTTAACGGCACCTGCTATGAGGAAAATCCAATTACCTCAACAAAAATATATGTATTTATCAATAAAATATTCCAAATGTCAAGTTATTTGACTGAGATGAAGATAAGCGATAATAAATTACGCATTTTAAGACTATACATTCGTAATATACGTTGTAAATTAAATGTCCAGATCACCTGTACAATTCCTGAATGAAATAGAATATCTTTTAACAACTGTAAATAGTGTATTTGGTATTTCCGTTTGAATCCCAATCTACTCTGCAGAGCATTTGACTGTTCTTCACTTCGACAAATCATAAATAAATAAAAGGTTTGGTATTGTCAATCTTTTCAAATATAGGATGGATCTATCAATCATTCTGTTGAGACGGCTTCGAAAAGCACAATGGAGCCTCCAGCGGCTCTTAAGGAGCCAAAGTGACCCCATCCAATCAGAACCTGATAGGGCCTCCTATAATGCTAATGTTGCATGCTACGATTGTACGGTGACATAACTTGCCTCTTTGAGGATTGACTGGATAACGATAATGTCATCGCCAATAACTATAAATACCCATGTTTTTCTGGACATTTTTGATTCTTATCCAATAATCTCGTTCGAGTACCATAGTTGTACATCCTATTCTGCCGTAATCAAGTAGAGGACGTAACACTGGCGACAAGATGTACCAATGATAATGCCAGTCACTCTTGAAGAAGTAGAATCTTTACTTGAACGTTAGGAAAAACGGCATGAATAGTTCCAAGTTCGTATCCTGGAAATCTTAACGCAACTAATTAATCTGAATCACAGAGGACTTACTGATGTTTCATGTGACTCACATACCAATTTCATCATAAATTCTATTCATGAATTTCATTACGATGGTTTGGGTGGTATCACATTCGAATCCTGATTCAAAAAATGTGAAAATTTGTCCAAGGTAGCCCAACAGACTTGGTGACACTTCCAAGATCAGAATACTCCTAGGAAAATTTGGCACGGTTGAACACGAACGTGATTTCATCCTTCTAAATGACCCGAGAGATTCTTCTTCCGACGCAACAATTGACACCCTGTCTCAAATCTTTGCTGAACAGTCATCTTTGTTTATTATCCGTTTTATGTGTCTCAAGATAACAAGAGTCGATGATGACGACTGGGTGAAACACGTAGATTTAGCGAACCGCAAATGAGAGCGGTTTAAACTACCAGCAATGGCGGAAGATCAGTTTAAATATTTGTGCTTTGTATGATGTCTCCAGTCTCCTGAGGACGCTGATATCAGAACCAGGATTTTGAGTAAAAGTGAACAATGCCCGAAATTAAAGCCATAAGAAATAACCACAGAATGCCAGAGATTGGTAGACTTGAAACGCGATACTTTCATGGTTGAAAAAAATGGCCGGCCACCACACGTCCATACTGTAAGCATGGAGTTATCATTCCGCCAAATCGTTAAACCGTCACTTTGAAGGAGAACTTTTGAAGAGCTTTCATCGACGTGACTCACTGATGGTTGTCAACTCACGCGTTATGTTCTGTGATCGAACTGTTATTCCAGAATTACTGAGTCACAAGGTTTTCAAGCAATTTCACTCCGAGATCAATGAGATGAAATCATAGGCTCGAAGTTATGCTTGTTGATTCTCAATGGACAGAAATATCGAAAACAAGTTCCGTAACTGATCGTTATGTCTGCAAGTTGCTGAAAACCCTTCTAAATGAGAACCACAGCAGCAGCCTTAGCCTATTAGTCCCTGGGAGAGAATCCACACAGATTTCACTGGTCTAGTACAAGGAAAATGCTTCTAAAAACATTTTGTTATGATCAGTATTAACTAAGCCTCTCTCCACAGCTATAAACGGGGAATATTCATTAAATGTCTTTTTTTATACTAGATCATGTAAGAAAGAATCGAGACGTATGGTTTACTGGAAATCAGAATATAGTTTCGATGGTCGGATAAAAATTTGGGTCATACGAAACTGCTAATGGAGAAAGCATTAACTATTAGCTTCGACTGCTATGGTACAAGAATATAAAAGATAACCACTAGACGAGAGGTACAAATTTGCTTGTAAAGTGAATTTCAGCAGACGTTATAGGTCCATAGCTTTAATTATTTCCTGCAGAAGACCGATAGCTGATTCAACATGAAACTCGACCTAACAACCTTCACTACTTAGTAAAAACGTGTGAGAGAGGTTGATCGAACTTTTTGACTAGTTTATTATTTCAGTTTTATTGTTCTTAGTACCAAACCTTTTTGCCGAAACTGGTTGAGTTAAGGCATTATTACCTTCAATTTTTCTGAGGTCATACGTATCGTAAACCAACGGATATCAATGAAATTCAGTGAATATAAGAATAATAGTTCAACTACCAAATAAACATCACTCTTCTTCAAATAGCGCGAATACTGATGGTAATTCATAATTTCTTTTCGGTCGAAAAACTGACTAAAATTTTTAATACTTCTAATATATTAAATATTATTGGTCAAATGTGAACTGTTTACTTACCCCACTGGCTACACTTAGATTTGTGCGGCTTTCAGCTTCAGAATCCAAATTTTTTTGGTGTGTTATAGGTATTTTACCAGGTGTCAAATCTGTATATGAGGAGTTGAGTTTTTTCTCCATTAATGATGCAGTGTCACTACCTAAAGATGGACTGTAACACTCTGATGAACTGAATCCAGGATTCTGCTTATGAAGATTAGCTTCTTTAGACATATTTATTTGATTCAACTGTGGAGTAGATGACTGTAAGAAGAATACGGTTCTTAATTATTGTTAATATGCCAAAGTTCATTATATCATATAAATATAAACATAAAATGCAGAAAAAGTAAAAACTGTTACTGTCTGTCATGAAATAATATTTTCGTCTTTGCTTCTAAGCTGAAACTCTTTTATATTCTATTGCTAAGTAATTACTTATATCTAGGAAAATAAGAGTTAGCAGACTGACGTTCACCTGTTCTGCAACTATAAAATCAGTTTAATTAGCAATTGATTTTTGTCACTATTTATGCATGCCTTGATCATCAATTTAATTGACTTTTTATACTAACATAATGGGTGAAAATGAGTGAATAAACTAATTATAGATTATCTTCGTAACTTAGACTAGAGATTTTTGGAGTAACTGTCGGTCTCAGTCTTATATAAAGGAGGAGGGTTGAGCGTTGCGTTAGCAACTTCACTTCGTAAAAAATAACTAAAATACGCCAATCAGAATGAACCAGTTAATTCATTTGAACACCACTCCGAGAGTTGAAGGATTTCTATATAGAAGAGCTATGATACCTCATGATGAAATCCGATATTCTTGGGAACCCACGAGGTCGATGTTCCTTCTGACGCTCAGAGCGAAAATTCATATAGGAACCTAGCAATGATGTAAGTGAATATTAAAAAGACCAGTTTTATAAGAGGTTGTGGTCTATCCTAGAGAAGTGCCCAGGAAAATATCTAACCATTTTTATACGAGATCTAAACACCAAGGTTGGAATGACTAACACTGGGTGTGAAGACATCATGTAGCGATATGGACTGGGAGAAAAGAATAAGAATAGTGAGAAACTGGCAAATCTATTTGCTTTACACAACATGGTTATATGTGGTGTCATTTTCCGATACAAGTACATACACGAAGCTTTATGGGTCTTACCGGAACAAACTACCGATAACTAGATTTATCACATCTGTTTCAGTAAGTCTTCAGGAGCTTCATGAAAAACCTAAGAACAGGAAAAGGAGCTGATATCGCTTTAGATAGTCAACCATCGGGGGGTTGAAAATTTAACTACCAAAGCTTTGAACAATTGGACAACAGATACTACAAAAGTCTGATGCAGCGTCCCTTCGAAACGTTGACAAAATTAGCGGATGTAACATAACTCTCATCAAAAAATTTCAAACCTTATTATGTCTAACAGGTGAAGACGAAACCACTATGGGAAGCAACTGGAAAGGGGTCAAAGAAATAAAAACTTTAAAATCCAAGGAGGCGCTCTGACAAGTACTAGCATAAAGAACATACCTCTATCGACAGTGAGGATAGGGTTCAAGAAAGAAAAAACGAGAAGACAGCAGTCAACAATAACTTAGCATGAGCAGAGAAAGCCATGTCATGGGCCTAATTTACAGAGGCAAATAAACGGGTAAAATAAAAATCATTAGATCTGACGAGCGGAAATCTGTAAAACATCTGAAAACTACAGGACTAAAGGCTACAAGAAAAGGAAATAGCAATAATCAAGGAGCTTTCAGGAAAATAAAGTGAACCATAGCAACCAGTCAGGAACGAACAATTTAAACTAATCACTGAGGTTCAAGAGCAACGGAGAAGATGGGTAAGATACTTTAAATAGCTTTTGAATAGACCAGCCCCACTGAAACCAATGGATATGAAAGCAGCACATACAGATCTACCCATTCATCATACGTCACCAAAAATAAATGAAAACAGCATAGCCATCTGGCTAATTAAGGGTGATAAACCAGAAAGCATACCAGCTGAAGTGCCGACTTCAGATACAGAAGTAGTTGCAAAGATATTACACGTTCTCTTTAGAAAGATTAAGGAGAAGGAATGAGTACTAACGAACTGAATAGAAGGATAACTAATCAGCGTACCAAAGAAGGGAGACTTCAGTAATTACGGCAAGTACAAAGGGATCATACTACTATCAGTATGAGGCAGTTTTCAACAGAGTATTAATAAACCGAATGAAGGATTCCGCAGATGTCCAACTTTGATATCAACAATCTGCATTTCGTAAGGACAAATAATGTGCCGACCAAATCGCCACACTGTGGATTATTTCGGAACAGCCAATTGAATGGAACTCGCCACTGTAAATAATTTCGCGTATCTGTGTTTGATGAAAAATTCTTTAACCGATTCAATGTATTGGAATTCTACGGATATTTTTTAAAGTTATGTGCTGCGTGGAAAACTCATATAAACCTTAAGAGGAACAACCACTATATTGTAGTTGGGATAGGGTCGTTTAGTTGATATCACTTGCGATGAAAATTGTCTTTAAATAGTTATTAACATCATTAGCAGTGTAGTGAACGTGAACTTTTAAATAATGTATTTATTTGTCTTCGATTATTTTTAGTAGTAGATTTTGCGCTATTTTGTGATGACTATCAAACTTGACCTACGCAAAAGTTATGAGGACAATTAAGATCGTATAGCGAATCTATCTAAAGACACTTAAAAATCGGAAGATGCATATGTTAACTTTAAAAGAAAACGTAAATCCATCAACATGGTTCCTTATATAATTTGAAAAAGTGACTTATTGTGACAGCTAAATTTGAGTTCAGATGCAAAACATGTGTTTATGGAATACCATGCCATAGAAATTCACAAAATATTCTCTACAATTTAATCAAGAAAAAAAATCCTATACGATTATTCCATATTTTAAAGTTCAATATTCTTTTTTTAACCTAACAAATATATTCTATAAATTCTACTCAGTATATTCTTTAATGATCCCCAACAAAATATCCAATTTTATGATCGGAGCTGATGAACAGTAATTCTGAGGAATATCCTCAATAAAGATTGTTTGAATCCATTCAAAATTTAGTCGTTCTAAAGAACCACTAAACATTTACATCTAACGTGCATTCTGGGTACAGCTTCTAGTTTTACCGAATTTTCATTGTAAATTCTCATTGGAACCTGCTTATTTTAGGAATAGTTACTAAAGGAATACAAAATTCAAGATCACCAAAAGGTCACGTAAGTTCAACAGTACAGTTTGCTCAATCTATTGTCAGTGGCCTTAAAAAGCGATTTCCAACACACAAGGAAGACTTTCTACCAAAGCTCCTTATATTTACTCATATTCCAATGCTATCATACACTTTTGTTTTGAAGTGTAAACTTGATTTGAATGGGGTTTATTTACCTACGAATCCGTTCAACTCTTATAATCAATCGTTTGTATGACAAAGAGAAGTTTAAAGTTCTTAAAGGAACTAACCAATAAGATAACTCTTTTTATTATTAACTTATCACTGTGACCTTAAACGCAAAAATAAGTACAATAAGTAACGACATATATATAATTTAGAAAGTCTATCAATAACCTTAAGAAAATTATGACTTATTACTGTGTTATTAATTTAATTCGCTGATATAAAAGAATTATAACTATAAACCTATCTAGAACAAGTGACTAAACTTACATGAAGAGATTTCGATTGTTTGTCTAATGAATGAAAATAAAACACGATAAATAAACAATGTTATCAAAATTAATCCCGAAATTTCATTTATTCTAATTCCAGCATGAACGAAATAATAAAAATAAGCTTAAATTTTTAGTGTAAAACGCTAATCCATCCACCAAAATTATTTAAATTATCTAATATTGAATAGATTAAAAACAACAATTTGAGTTAAATAACATGAATTCGTCTTAGTTCTTTGCGTTCTCATCAGTTGTTTACAACCTGTAATATTTAAACAGGGACCTTAATCACTAATTGGGTTGAAATTACTTACAGAAATGGGTTTAGTTGAAAGACATTTTGAACATACATCGGTGCAACACATCAAGGATGGCGACAAAGTTAAGATACTAAATAAAACATTGCTAATGTATATCTCATGTGAAAAAAAACATTTTATAGCAAAAGACCAAAGAGTTAGAAACGAGTGATTACTTGGTGAATAGACGCTAACAATAAGTAAGCATAAAATAAGTAAAACTCATTTAGTTGAAATAAGATTACTAATCTAAAAGGTAGTCGAAATAAGAATGCATGACGCAGTAATCAAGTTGAAGGAAGAAGTGAACAAGATTTTGTGATGTGATAAAAAAGTGTTTGCGTCAACAAGGCAAAGATTACCAACTACCTCCTTTTTAACACATAAATCAAGTTCCTGACGCCTGATAACTATAGCTTCAGCAAACTTCGAAAGATTGTAGCTTGGTTATTTGTTAATCACCTTGGCAGATTTTAAGGCATTGACCTGATGAACTGTGTCCAAGAGAAGTTTAGTAGTTGTTCTGTTCAAAGTAATTATTCTTCTTGTTCGAAGATGTTTTGAAAAATACTCAAAAAATCTAAGATATGACCTCCTTCACGTTTAGTGATTGTGGCTACTTTTGGAAATACACGTAAATTCCCAGATATAGTTGTCAGTAACGTGAAAGGGTTGGCTGTTGACTTTTGACAGAATTATTGAAGATGTTTTATACAGGATTAATAATTCTACTGCACGGTGGATTCCAATTAATACGTTGTTAAGCCTCCTGTTCATTTCCTCAGTGAAGCCATCACCTTTGAATTGGAGATGGACAAATATTGATTTTTTAATTGACTCTAGCAACATTTAACTTGTTATCTTTAGCTACTTTACATTTAACATAGAATTCCTGGGCGTAGCAGCAATCTCTTAGGTAGTTTGACAGTTCATCAAATGTTAATCCAGTTGATCAGTATTACCCATCCCTACCTGTCAGTAGTTATTTTCAGGATATGAAACTTAAAAGAAGACTGTAGTTACTACATCCATGTCTTTACACTGATTAGTGTGTAAATGTAAGGTGTCAGTGTGAAATAGTTGTCAAAATAGCTGAATCCATTACTTGTAACCTGCAAATAAATAACAAACATCTTAGTTTCTGTGAGATCAGTTAAAGATATTTCACGTACTATGAGAAAATTAGGTAAATCCACAAATTACTGAGTGAATTAATTGAGTCCACTAGTTTGTCATTACATTCCAACCCAGTTACTAACATTACTCTAAGATTAGAGTATAATGGTATCACAAGACCACATTTCAAGTAAAATAACACATAAAGGTGTAAAAAGCACAACATGATATGTTTTACTAGCGCGTATGTGTATTCCGTATTATTCACAAATACTAACCTATGACTGGATAAATAACAGCAAATATAACCTATCTAACTTTATTATTAATACAGAACCAAATCAAACTCAGATATCGTTGGGCAGACAAAATGACGTGTAAAAAGTATAAATTCGACGCTAACCTGGTTTCGAACTAGACTGACGTTTTTCCTCTGTTGTGGTAGCTAAAATTAAACAGAAAGTAAATTTCGGTAAAATCTACATATTTGAATGATATAGAACACATAGGAATGATGATCAACATCTCAGGTAACACCCAACATCGAATAACTAACTAGATATTAGTGATATACTAAAACAAAGTCAAACATGTAGAAGGCTTTTAAGGCACCAAACACCACAAGCATTTAAAATTATGTCCTACATCCAACATGTTGATCCTGATGATTGACTTCAAGTTGCTCATCCACTGCATCTTCTGTAGCGTTGTTCTTCGAACAGTTGTCAAAAATTGAATAATCTCTATCACGATTGAGAAATTGGTTATCTTCAGATACTTTATTTGGCTCTTCATTAACTTCATCTTTAGGGTAAAATAGAGTCATAGATCTTGACTTATCATTTTTCCCAAAGTTATTTGTTTCGTTTGTATTCCCGAAAGAAAAAGTACCGGATAATCTACGATGCTGTTGAACTGGAGAGCAAGATAAATCATAACTGTATGTTTCATTTAAATAAAAGTGGAAAAAATTTATTCATTTTCTCACATTTCACTCTCCATGAACTTTGAAAAAAGTTTGAATCTGTTTCATGGTTCGTAATCTCGCTACATGTTCTATCATTCTTTTCATGGTAGTTCACCCTTGTATTACTGTCATCGTTACCATCTCAACTCAAAAAATCATTATATGAAACTGATAACAAGTGAAATTTAAACGATATATATATATATATATAGAATGCTTAGATGTTGCCCGAAGAGACTGATCAGTTGCAGTCCTTAATAACAGTAACGGGAAGATTTAAACCCTAAAGAAAAAATTTCTGTTGTACAAGTTAATGGCTATCTGAACTCAGTAATTCAGTAGATAACATATTGAGTGATTGAAGCGAAAAATCCTGGGTTAGAGTTTCAATATGAACACTAACGCTGGGATGCAAGTATACTCAACTAATGAATCCGAAATTGGACGAAATGCGCCTTTTGGATCCCACTCCTAGCCATTATTCAACTTGACTTCATTTATCACCGATTTAATTTTTAAAGAACCTAAGTGGACGGCTTATAAAAGATTATCTACCGAATACCTACTAATCATCTAGTTCTTATGTTGCTCTGGGTAATCCTTAGAGTCTCATGCCGATGTCTGATCACTAAGTCTAGCTGTTTGATTGTAACTTCATCAATAGAATTCATTTGTATACAAGGGCTAAACAACATGACACTGGTTAATACTCACCGACACATTAATGGAATGGTTTTGAAATTCGGGCCTTAACTGTCCACAACAATCATTCCTTTGAAATCCAATTCCTGGGTAATATTTTTTTCAAAAACCTGGATTGCAAATGCCATTTACAGATTTCATAAAAACCACTTTTAGTAATTACAGTTATCATCAGTGATCAAATAAAAAGGCGATATTTTGATTTCAGTTTCAAGTTAACTATATGATCAGTGCCGAAATAGCCAGACAGTATTGAAAATTTGTGGTTTGAATCGATCAGACACTTAAAAATTTCACAACAATAGAAAATTATTCTGGTAGGTTGCATAATACTAGATGGCTTATAGTTACAAAATGAACAAACAATCGATTCTAGAAAACAATAAGTAATCTGTATTATCAATGTACTTTTCAATATATATGCAACTATTATTGATATGATTTCTGTCCGACAATACGGAGAAATGAAAAATACCCTATAAAAGAAATTTAATACTCTCAAACTGAAATTTTCAGATTTGTAGTAATTTAAATGTGATGCTCCGTTTGATGAACAAAAAATAGTGGGTCAACATAGCTTATGGGGCCTGGAAATCTATCTTATCTGCTTTTTTTCATGTGAAATGATGACAAATATTCGTAGCTCATGAGGAGGATTTCGGAGGTATTTAGTTCTCTGAGATCGATGGTTTAGTTTTGGAGCTTTCGTTGTCTTTCTAGAACACACAACTAGTACATGATTCAGAAAGTGACCTATTAGGATTTTTATACACTTCACTAACAAATTGTATTGGTGATCTGGAATATGATTAGGTGTTGATTAGAAATGCGTGTAACTGCAGGTATTCAGCTGATAGGACACAACACCTAAATCTTTGCATCCACTAGTCATTTTCTGAAATAGGCAACCACATGCTATTACTTGTGAAGCTAGAAATTAGTCTCAGATATGTTTCAAGTAAAACTTCGATGAGAGTCTTACTTTATTAATTAAATCGATTCATTTATTCTTCTTATTTCTTATTTGCTTTTTCATCAACTTTTGTTCATAATTAACTCATAATTGACGAACGAAAGTTGTCATTTTATATAATTAAATCCTAATGGTAATCTTCCTCAGTGTTTCAATTAATTTCTGTGATCAAATGAAGTAATAAGCAGACCATTTCTCTTTCGTCTATCACATATTTGATCCAATTAAAATAAATACCATATTTATGAATCACATAGGAGTAGTTAAATGTATCCGATTCTTTTTCTAGAGGTTTTTGATGTGACTCATCGAACAACTGTCATTCTGCAAAATATCATTATTATTTTTTGTTATTATTAACAATTACCATTCATAATTACTTACGTAAATAATATAATTCTGTACTCAAATAACATAAATCTTAATTAATTTTTGTTATTTTATTCCCTAACTCATTTGACAGAGGATATTGATTATGATTGGTGTATACCTACTTAGAACTTAATTGAGCATAGCTTATTTTAATGATTAATCATAACACTAGATGCATATTCTAAAGGATTTATTTGTGCGTGAGACTGATTGTTTATTTGTACATATGCTATTAACTCGATACGTGCCAATACATATGATGGCTTCATAAATTATAATACATTTATTTTATGTTGTTCTGAATGAAAGAATGAATGTGTTCACAAGCTGATAACTGTAATTATCAGTGTATAGACTGACATCATTTTGAAACAATAATGAGTAGTCAACATTGTTTAGAAGGCCAAATGAACAGGACATAGCAATTCCAGGTGAAAATTTGGCTTAATAATTTCTCAGAACTAATGTGAAGATATTTTTCGTTTTGAACTTTTCTCAGTCGAAAAAGAATACAGAAATGATGTGATTCATGTCTTGTTGTGGAATCGTACATCTTATTAGGAGGAATTCAATTTCACAATGGTAGTTACTCGTCATAATAAATCTGGTTGTAAAGAATCGAAGCCGTAAACCTGAGACAAATAAGCTTTTGCTTCTTTTTAATTTATAATAATTATGTAAATGATGTCAGCTCCTGGTGGAACACATGTCTAAACTAACCAGATTACTGTAGTAAAAAATACGACTAATTATCCATCTTCGGGTTTCGAAATTACTGATTGACCTTATAAAATCACTAGAAACCAGGATGAACTGAACAACGGTTTCGTTATACAACAGGTCTGCTCGTTATTGAGTGTCCATGACCTCACTGAAGATTAAATTTAAGACCTTCAAGCTTGTCAGAGAGTGCTTAACCTTAAGACCACTGAGTTAACACTAAATGGGTTCTAATTCTAACTTTAGTCAATTCTCTGTTGAGAAGTTTCATACTAAGACCAAACAGCTTCTCAGTGCTTACTGGTTTGTAGTAGCTGTCGGAATAAGGTCAGTGCGTGATGCAGAACTACAAAGTTCGGGGATCTTCACGATTCCCTAAACTAAGAAGTTTACACCTTTTAGTCGGATGGTTTTTTCAGTTTATAGTATGAATTCATGAAATTCTATCTCGATCAGTTCAGAAATTAGAATTATTTCTGTCCAACAATCTTGTATGTAGAATTAGGCAACTCTGTATTGTCGAGTTACCTGGAAAATTAATGAATCCTTCATCTTTTTTAATTTTCAGTGGTTTATTAACATGAATAATTTTTACGTCCTACTACTAAATGTATCTAATCTAAAAACAGATCCAAGCTTGTTTTCGTTTTGCAGAGAATTAGAATACTAGGGTTAATTTTGGTGCAGGTTATTAACAGATGGACATTAGAACATTCTGTTATGTACGAGGATTCCTTACTACTACTAATCAATAAAGCCTAAAGAGGATCAATAATTAAAGTAATGACTTAACCAACAAAGTATCCATTTCTCTTGATCAAAAATAAAAGGTAAACTGGGTTATACTAGAAATAAGCGAAACATATTACCATGAAATTGGACAATATAGGATCTCATCTCAAATAAGTTTGTCGGTTAGAAAAAGCTTTCCAGTACTAATCAGTTTTGGTTTGTTGTTTAAGTTTTATTTAAATATGTGAAAAATATTACTTTCAAATGAACCAGATTTCTCTATTATTTTCATTTCGATACAAAAAAAGGGGAACATTATTTTACTGAAAGATTATTCCATCCCAAACAGAACACTTTCTCTTGGGATAGCACTTTTATATTTCTATTGTTTTTTTCAGACAACTTTGAAGAAATAAAAATCACACTGATTTTTTCCAGATTATCATGTGCTGTTTTTACCAAATCATCAATCATCATTTTGAACTGAAACTGAAAATTCATTTGTTTTTATTTAGACAAACGCCAAATATTTTTTCGGCTTACACAAAGAACCATAAATAGTAGTAAAATAAAAATGTAAAATTAATTTTTAAAAAAGCTTAATTGGCAGTCATGGAATTCTTTTAAACCTTTGAAACTTTATTATTGAAAGCTAGTAGTATAAAAATTTAAGCATTCGAATAGAAAAATGAGTTATAAATTTTATGTGGTAACAGACAGACAGAGAAAGAGAGAGGGAACACCACAGCTCTTGGGCGCCGTTCATTTTTCACTTAGAGACAGTTATCATTCTTTAAATATAAACTCAATACTACATGCATGAAAAATGACATGAAAAATCGTAAAACTTCAATGTGCAATCGTGAATTCTGATATATATGAATAAGCGTTTAGGACCAAAAATATCGTTGAAGTCTAACTAAATAATAGTGTTTATTGTAATTATTTCTACAGGTCACTAAACCTATGCAACTCCCTTTTATGTTAACGAAAAAAGAGTACTAATATTTGACGTACTGACTCACATGATGTGACAGTGCAAATCTAGAAAAGCTCTAGAGCAAGAGGATTTTAAAGTTTTGAGGCTGCTAGCATTGATCATTCTCATTTTAAAAACAGATGAGGTGTTCTGGTATTTTAAGAATACTACTAAATCCATTTTGTTCAGCTTCTACAAAATTAGTCATAGTTTTAGAAACTGATCTTTCTGTGTAGAAAAAAGTCCTGCCTCTGAACATACAAATAAGTCACTTAACACAACGAATTCCAGGAAGTTAGTTTAGTGCAACTGAATGAACATCTTTTTTAAAATTTAGATCTTTCCCATGACCCTAATAATTAGTTTATGCAAGTATTTCACTATATCTGTCTATGAATGTTGTAAGTTAATTTTAAAATAGGATCTATACACGATAAATAAAGGTTGATAAATATAGACGTACTGTGCAAAATTTTTGATGTTTCTTGGCTGATAGATTTCAGCAGTTTATTGCAGGCTTCCGAACTACAAATGAATGGCAGCCTTAGCAATCCTAAAATACGACCGCTGAAATAATCATTTCTGATTTTTGAGTCTAAACATTCAGGCTATTTGACACTGTAATACAAAAAGATGTTTTCTATGCTAACTAGTCACTTATTTAGTCACATGTTCTACCTTACAACTAACGATACAGAAACATTAACACTCCATCTAAGTTCTCATCTTCTCTGGTTAATAGATTTTTCAACTGAGAATTGCGAAGACTAACTTCTAGAAGATGTTACTATATAATGTCGTAGTTCTAAAATTACCATCTAACAACAGATAATACAAACCCATTATTAATTATTTTATCAGACATCAACCCGATTCATATAAAATATCAAAATAATTTAAGATAGTGAACTTACTGTGAGTACAGTTTAAATTATTTCTAAAAATTTGAATTCCCTAGCTTACTTTCAGAGAGGGAAATACATGACCACTTATAACCCAAGCAAGAACTATAAAAAAGTGATTTCCTTTAGATTCTCTGTCAACCATCATCATGGAAATAAATATGTAATAATCCGTTTGAAAACTCACTCAATTCTTGCACATTTGCTCCTCGACTACGAGGTGTGTTAGATCTCGCTTCACCTAAAAGAAGGTTAATTAGAATTCAAGCACCTGATATTATGGCGAAACAAATATTAAAACCTTTAAAACTTACTAGGAAATAGTTTTGTAAAAACAGTTAGATAAGTAGAATCTTATTAAAGAGCTTAACAGTAAATTCTCCTGTACAGTAACTTGTGACAAACATATAGTGCTAGTTTATCGTATGTATGAACGTAATATCAGAAACATTTTAGGTATCTACATAACCGTTTTTGCATTTCGTATTTAGGATTTAGAATTTTGTAGCTTGAATATATTGTGTTACAAAATATGGGGCTTGAGACCTAGATTTTGCTAAGCATACAACTTCTATCTTGGCGATATTCGACCATATGTGTTGTAGCATTGTTCGAAGTAGATTTCATTAGCATCAATACTGACTGCATACGATAAAATGGATAACTATATGCTTATAGTAACCAGGCTTATCTGATTTTCGCCATATAGGTTTTAATAAACGCCTCCTTCCAGTAGCAGATTTCTAGGAACACATCAAAATATCTTATTTTTGTAGACAGTAGAATAGATTTGTATCTAGTGCCAAAATAACTTGCTTATATGCAAAATATGAAATCTACAAGTAAACATGATTAGAACTCATTTAAAATTTAAACATTTGGAAGACTCCGATTTCACAGGCCAATCAAAGTGTGACAAAACTAATATTAGGCTGTCAGGCTTATTTCTTGTTCATCCTATCATAGTTTGTATAATATTCACAAGACTTGGAGAATAAACTACTTTATCATGTGAATATTAAAAATGTTGAGATTTCTAGCTGAGATGCGCATAAATTGTGTTTTACGTTCATAAATTACAATGGAAAATCAGATTTTATCGTAAGTAAATCATTTATTCATTTGAATAAGCTAATAGCTTGATGTTGACTGGCCAACATTATCCATATGAAGTGGGTTTATTCTTTTTAGAAAACTCGCAGTCTACAGTATTTGTTATGCGATTGCGGTACTGAATTGATTATAGTCAACGTTTAATAACGTCAAATGTTAAAATAATTAACGCAAAGTGCTTGTTATCAGATGGAGACATTTGGACAATATATCCGTTTTACAAACAGTATTAGGATACAAAGAGTAAATGCTTAATTTAGAAATCAGAAATTTAAATAAAAATAACTTTTATCTCATATGGTAAACTTTAAAATGTTTGCGCTTACGTTGAATTCGTTGGATAGATGAACGTAGAGCTTCTGGACCACTAACACCTCGTACACGACCAGATGCTCGAGCTTGTTTCAGTTGTTCCGTGAACCATACTCCAAGTTTACATTTGTGCAGACTGTAAACAAAACGTTGAAAGTAATTATGTTTGATCTTGTTGAGTTGTAAATTCTCAAGCTTTTACAATATTTATCAGAGCTGATTGCAAAAGTAGTTTTATTTTTGGTAACCTGAACTGATGTAATATTATTACTGTTAAATAAACAAACTACAGTAGTTAACATTATTCTCCAGTGTTTTACGGAAATCCAGGAACATTTGTACAACAATATCATATTAATCGTCTTTAACTTAAAGGGGAAGCCATTTTAAACTCCTGTAGTTCTAGTGAGACGTGACCAGTGGAGTCCAATCCAAGTCGGGCGTGAGACAGTTATCCACCTCAAACAATGGGTGAAGGACTGTTCACGATCATGGATCGATTAGAGTTAGTTAATAATACCATTGGACTCCGGCCCAGTGGTCTACAGGTTAAGCGTTCGCGCGCAAGACAGAAGGTCCTGAGTGGGAATCCCGCGTGCATGACCGTGGACGCGCACTGCTGGGGAGTCCCACATTAGGACAAAACGGTCATCTAGTGCTTCCAGGTTTCTAATGGTGGTCTAGCTAGGATTGACTCATGATTTCAACTGTGGAAAATAGGGTTCCGAAGAATTTTACTCATAAATTCTATTAGCAGAAAAAAAATATTTTAAATTTCATAAACAGTAGTACAATAGACTATTATTACAGAAAAACACCTTGACAGTAACGCACTTGGTAAACGCTGTTAAAACGATACAGCAGGACACTATTGGGACACTTTGTAACGAAAATGCAAAAAGGGATAAAGACATCAGAGACGAAGGAATACCTCTGAGAAATATTTTAGTGAAGCCGAACAGTTAGCATGTTCGAAACAAACGTGAATAATGCCTGCGTTCGGAAAAAAACATTAAAAACTGAAACAAGTTGTATTAGTTACTCGAAAATCTAATTTTTTGTTTTCTACCTTTCGTGAGTTTCTACTTATCTTTCATTAATGGCGACAACTACGCCATCCCCCATATAAAACAAAAATGGTGTTGAATGGAGTGTTTATATGACTGAGAGTTCTTAATTCCGAGTACGCATGTGAACATATGGGCGATAATCCCTCAGTCATGACTAAGTCAGTAATTATTACTATAGTTATTGAAAAGAATTCATTGTTATTGTTAACTAACCATTCTGCATAAAATAATATTATAGTTTCGTTTGGGAAAATAAATAGGGGTAAACACCTGTTGGTTTAATCTATATTAGAATATCAACTTCAACTAATCCACAAAATTGAGCGACACATCCATCATCGTCTTCAGTGAGTTATTATCTCACAACAGACCTAGTTGAACTCCACTGGTCACTACTTCTCACTAGAACTCCAGGAAATACCTCTTGAAGCCAGTCACTAGTGAGCATATGTTGATTAATATCAGATGGGTTTTGTGGATATTATAGTAATTTCGATGGTTAAGATCATGAGTGAATCGAAGCTAGACCACCATAGAAAATTTGGCTCATGATCTCAACCATTAAAATTACTATAATATCCATAAAACCCCTTCTGATACTAATCAACATATGCTCACTAGTGACTGGCTTCGAGAGGTATTTCCTGGAGTTTATAGTGAGAAGCGGTGACCAGTGGAGTTCAACCAGGTCTGTTGTGAGATAGTAACTTACTGAAGACAATGGTGGATTAGTTGAAGTTAGACATTAACCCCATTGGATGCCGGCCCAGTGATCTAGTGGTTCGCGCGCGAAACCAGTAGGTCCTGGGTTCGAATCTCGCAGGGAGCGAGTTCGTGGATGCGCACTGCTGAGGAGTCCCACAGTAGGACGAAATGGCCGTTCAGTGCTTCCAGGTTTTCCATAGTGGTCTAGCTTCAACTGACTCATGATCTTAACCATTGAAATTACTATAATATCCACAAAACCCATCTATATTAGAATAGTCAAAAACATACGGAATAAATTCATATAATAATATTAACAATATAATTTTGTGGCGTTCTAATTGTCATAATAATTTTGAATATAAAACCCCAAAATTATTCAAATATGATCATATTTTTCAGTACTAAACTTTCGTTTTGTTCAATATAAACCAAACATTATACATCAGTTAGAGTTCACAAGTACATACATTTTAGGGAATACGTTAACAATCAAAAGGAGTACTAGACTACTATTCTGTCTTTGATTGAGATTTTTTAAGTGAACATCCATGCTTTCAACATGGATTAAATCCGGGAAGCCGAAACATATAAACTATTTAAGTACTCTAGTGATTTAGAATTCCAAATTCAGTCGATCTGCATTTAATAACACCAGTGATTCCTATCACAGTTAATATCTAATTAGCTTCACTGATCGTGGTTTCGCTCTGCAACTTTTGATATACTCATCTTTAGGCCAGCGACTGGTGGGTGTATAACGAATAATCTGAATATAGGATTATTTGATTTAAATTGATTTAACAAATAGTGCTGTATAGTTACCAATATTAGCAATTCATTTGAATGTAGTTATATGCCTTAACAGACCACAAAAAGTGAAAGATTTCATTTATTATGATAGTGACTGGAAACTTAGATTTGGCATTACATTTAGTGTATATTAATCACCGGACTACGATACTTGGATCAATGTAATGCTAAGTGAAAGAGATTTATGATCAAACTGAAAAGTTACCTAGAAAGAAAATAAATCATAATGATCATATTTAAGTGACAGATAATGATTGGAAACCAAACAAACATTAGAACAAACGAGAAAACCAATGTTCTCTTTTTATCTGATGTTTGGGGGTGGGGGTAATAGTTCAATATAATTCCATTGAATTTTTGGTTTCAGTTTAACTAATCTTATGATCATGGATCCAGTCACATGGAAGAGTCTTTTGGTTCATTTTTCGTTATTTTTAATCTCTGTTAGGGCCGTTTCTTGTTTGAAGAGGTTAAATTTTATTCAAAACTTGAAATTCAAACCATTCTTTAATATCTTTAGAGAAGGAGACCAGATAGTATCATTTTTATCAATAAACAGTGTTAATGTCGGGACCGAATTCAAGAAACGGAACTCGGTTACTCAATGGCGTCGACTCACTACAAGTTTCGACTTAACATTTTGTGTTGAGATCAGATGGTTGGAAGCAAGAAGCTGTAAATCAAACATTTAGGTCTTAATCTAGCTCAAACTTATCAGAACGGTATATATGCAATCATGAATCTCACAAAGAACATCTCCTATGTAGAGACACTTTAGCTGGCACCTGTTAAGGTTTAATTGCGAAGCTTTTGTTTTCTTGGTAATATCATTAAAGCCTTATTAAGGTAAAGAAAACGCTATATTTCGTGATGCTTCATATCTGAGAATAATTATTTTAACAGATGCTTTCTAAATACCCATAAAATTTCATTCATTCTTACAGTTCAGAACAAACTGTATGTATTACCGTGCAACCCAGGAGTTATTTCTTTCTGTCCACTGAAACGATGTCAATTTTGATTGCTCACTAATTAGATCAGCGAAACACGAGTAAAGCATACCTTGCATGTACTAATTGAGTTTGTCTTACAAAACTTAGAAGTACCTTTAATAGTATAATTTATTAAACAATTATACCAATGTCCTGGTAACAAAACGAGACGAAGATGAGTTTGACAAAATGGAAAAACGAAGTGTCTTTCCTTTTTCATGTCTTTTGTGAGGCTAAAACGTGATTGCATATTCATGGTAGTTGTTATTCTAGTTTAGTTCATAATTACAGTTGTTTCAATAAGCATGAATTCACCTGGTTTATCGAGCTTTACAATTTAAAGATCATTATGAACTGGCATTAGCTAGAGAATTATTGTTTTAAAACTATCTTGTATTAAGATAAATTCTAGTAAACCATTCATCCGAAAAAAAACTTTACGTAATATTTTAGTGTTTTTCATAACTTAGTAATGCTTTCAATTCAAAATGCTTTAATGAATCTCCGTATCCATAAAAGCAGTCTACTAAAGTCAACTTATTTCTTGGAATTTCAAGGCCAAGTGACTTAATTAAGTTGACAGTACGGATGAAAATCAACGTAAACTGCATAAAAATATTAAAGTAATTGACTTGCTGAGTATATTTCATATGACTAAGGCCTACTAGAAAATACTATCATTTGTTTTACCTTGAATTCCTTACTGGAATTTTTAAAAACACCCTTTTGTAAATGTAGAACCTATCATTTATTGTAGTCTGCATGACATATTTCTTTTTTTTCAATGATTTCATAAATTCCATTTCATTAGAATAGTCAAGAATGGTTTTTCAAACTTTTCTGTTGCATCAAGAGATCCCCAGAGAAGCTGAACTGAAACTGACACCCAAACTGATATTGAAAGTACTGGTGTGGTGTGCACTACTTATACAGAGAGATATGAGTAGTATGTAGCAGGAATTGGAAGTAGATTGCTTAGCCGCAGAAGAGTGAAATAAAGAGAAGAAGGGAAACGAAGAGTAATCAAAATAACGATATGATCGGAATAATGATGATGCATGTAAAGGACAACTGAAGGAAGATATATGAATGGTATATTCAATGTACGGTTTTCATAGTTTATAAAGATACTGTTTAACAGTGCTTAAATAAAAAGTTGTTTTCACCCACCAAGTTTTCGTTCACTACACTGGCTTTAACATATGGAATTTCGGAAGACATTCAAATAACCGATGAATATTGTAACGTCCAAAGACTTGGTAAGATTCGACATAATCTTAAACAAAAATTAAAGTTATGACAGAAACTTTAGAGATATTTCCATCAGTAACTGAAAATTAAGGCTGGTTTTGTTTTCAAGTGGAACTTCATGAACCATATTCAACAAGCTATAAGGTTAACTAAGTAGGTTGTACCTGGTTCACTATGCAAGTGTATATACTTGAAGGCAAGTATGCAGATACTGTAGATTTATAAAAAATCTTGTGACAATTTATGGACAAGAATATGAACAGTCGCATTCCAGCTGACACATTACGACGGTAATAGACTGTCTC